TAACAGGAAATAAGTAAACTTGCAAGACTAAGCAAACTGCTGATGGGACAGTAAGATAGGAAGGAACAAATTCTTAAAAATAGAGAGGGATAAGGTTTAAGAATGATATAGTTAGATTTCTGTTTTAGTGTTTTGCCAATTGTCAAGGCAGTGATGAGGTGCCCAGGCAATTGATTCTTTTAGTTCTTTTAGATCCAGAGACAATGAATACACCAGTAGGTAAGGAGATTTTGAGCTTTATTGTTAACTCTAGCAAACAGATTTAAACAGGAATACAAGAGCACATGATAGAATTAAACTGAAATAGATAAGCATAGTATAAAAACTTAACATACCAAGCAAGATGATAAAACTCTTCCCCTACTGTCAGGAGCTACCATATGGTGGCAGCCGAGCGACCTCAAGATGGTTTTGTTAACACAGCACCTAGTCCCAAGGCCTGTGTCCACGCTCCCAATTCCAGGGGCAATGCCAGGGCGTTTTATCAAAGTCTGGCACTGCAATCCCATGACTCTGTTTTGGAGTCAGGGGCTCTGAAAGTGACCTTGACCAGATGTGATACCTGCTCATCAAAAATTCCAGAGCCTGAGAACTGCAATAGATAAGCTAACCTAAGCTTAACCTAAACAGTCCTGAGGGTTTTCTCCCCCCTGACTTCTAAGTAAAAGTGAAAAACAAGCCAGCTAAACATTATTATGGTTCAAAGTGAGCTTTCTTAACATGTACAGGAGAAATCAAACTATGTCACCTAAACTCCTCGAAATAACAGTGGTCTTCCGCATTGCCACTATGTTTAGCTTTTAATCTCTCCCTGTACTTAACTGCACCTTTCTGTACCTGAACATCGAGAGATCTTCCCTTCACCATCCCTATCTCTTGTTAGCATTTTTGTTATCCTTTATTGTTTCACAGCTTAGCTCTGAGGCTTTTACCGTGATACTATCGCTTATCTCTCCTCCGACTCCCTCTTTTCCAAAATCATTTGTTATGCTCCTGTCAGCTTCTTCTGAGGCCTGGGTCAGAGGTTGGTTGCTCTCAATAGGACAGGGGTTGCTTGTCTTCAGCAAAAGACATTCTGTAATGTCACTCATCTCTCTCAGCCTTCACCTTTCTCTTAATGGCCTTTGTGGAAATTCCTCTCGGGAGGAATGCAGGAATCTCTTTTGGCAGCCCTCTTCTTGTTCTGGCCCATGCAGATCCATTCATTTGCCTTCCATCCCTTCTTTAGGACCTAATAAAGTTTGCCCCGGCTGGCCTTCATTCTGCACTCTGTTCACAAGTGAAAAATGGACCTTTATCCATCACTCTGTCCTCATTTAAGATACATTTTTTATATGCATACTCTTCTTTTGACTTCAGCAATAACCAAACACATGTTTTCAGTCATGCCCATACCAAAGTGTTTTCTGAATCAGGATGGAATAAAGGAACAATTGTCAGCACGCAGTGTACAATAATAAGCCGAAACTTCAATTTGGTTTCATCTCATGGTACCTCCCTTGCAGTTTAGCCTGCTTGATTTGCCTAATTTTCTGATGTAAGATGTACAGAGTAAGATTCCAAATGCAACATTGCTGTGAAAAGAGGATTTATAAATTATGAAGAGGCTTACTGTCTTAGAGGGAAATGCACTGGGTAAGATAAAAGACAAGTAGAGGTCACTTGGATATAATAAGAAATAAGAAAAGGTGAGGATGAATAATGTAGTAAAATTATAATTAGCAAGACAGAGAGGAAGATGGAATTAATGACTAGCAGACTTCTATCATTGTAATGCTGGCAACAGGTCAAAGCAGATATACAGTTGGGTTACATAAAAGGGAACCTTTAGATGATAAACTTTGACTATAGGTTATGACTGACCAATGAAGAAGGAAAGAATAGGTGAGGAGTTATGAAGCCTTCACCTGTCACAGCCATTTCACTGGTTGAGCTCATTTCTGGTCTTGGAGCTCACATAGATGAAAAAAAATTGGGATAGAGAATAGCCAAAATAGATTCAGCACTTCCTTCTTCCTGTTGCATTTCAGCCAAGGGTTATTTTCTACCTATGTCTTGCCATTTTACTGCTATTTGATGGTGCCTACTATTCAAATTAATTAATTACTAGGGCACGTATGCCCTATTGTGTAAGCAGCTCACAATAAATACAGTACAAACAAAACAAATAGCAAAAATAGAGTGCTCAATCAAACCAATAAATCATTAAAATATTTTTATTTATCCATGATGGCCTATAGTGTTAGGATCTTTCTCTTCATTACCAGGAAAAATGTTTGTCTGATGTCAGAATTTTTTTTTTTTTAGAAAATGTTTTTATTTTAGAAAACATTCCTCATTGATGTTTTGATTTAAAAGGCGTTTTTCCCCCAACTGCTTGTCCTTCAGATATATTAGATATAAAAACTTACGTATCCAAATAGCATGGCCAATGGTCCTGATAACCAGCAATGATGGACATTCAACATATTCGAAGTGCACAGGTTTGGGAAAACTAAACAGTTAAATGACCTTGAGAAACTATTACTGCAAGGAACAGCCCCTAAGGCAGTTTTCCCCAACCACACCAGATCTATGAACTTCAACTCCAAGAACTCTCAGACAGCATAGAAAATCTAGTGAATTCTGATAGTCTGCACATCTGGAGGAAAGGCTGTTCAAGAACTTGTGGCAGGTTACTATATAGGGCCACAGGGATGGGCAACCTCAGTGTTGCACTCTATTTCTTAGCATCCTTCGCCACAGGCCCTATTAAATGGGGTTGTTGGGGATTGTTACCAATAACTCTTGTACAGCTGCTGGTTCCTCATCGTTGGCAGATAGCACAGAAGTTTTAGACCCAAGTAAGTTTGATTAATCAGAACTTTCTATATATGTATTTTTGGAAGTAATAGTAATGAATTGTATAGAACATATTCATTTTATAGTTTATGTCATTGTTATTGTTTCTAGCTATTGCAAGAATTAAAATGTAGGAAAAGTTACATAACTAAGATAAATATATATCAAAATTATATTTATCAAGACAGTTATATAAATTATTTTCCTCTGCTAGAGACCAAGCATCAAAATCAATTTCAAACATTTGTTAAATTGACGCTCAAATCCTTGTTTTATTTCATGTTTTTAGTGGCTACTTGATATTTGTATATTATATATTTGCCCTTATGAAAAACTTAAATATGCAAAACTTTGAATCGCTAGCACACTTCACTTCTCTCATGTTAGATATCAGTGAAATAATTACTTTTATATTTGTACATTCTTTTTTACAATTATTTAAATATCAGTATGAAGAGGTCAGTGAAAAATGAGCAAAAGCATGAGACCACTTTTGCTTGTCTTCATATTGATATTTTAATATGAATTATCCTACAAAAATCTGTGAAATGCTGATTACAACTTCTTATTGTACCAAGTCATATTATTCATCTCCTTTTCCTGTATTTCTCACATCTGTATACAAGGTGATTGTAGAGCAAGACAGCAGTGGTACTTAAAAAAAATCAGATGTATTAGCATAGTGATTTTGTTTTATTTTTCAACCAATTAGTAATATTTTCCCATTCTGCTTGATACAGCAGTATGCACTGTCTTCTGACTGCCTGTCAATATGTACATACATATTCATACAGAATGTGCCTTTTAAAACACACAGATACATACACATGCCACCACTAATTATTTGGCAAAATTTCTCATAAAGAAATCATGCCAAATTATTCTCCTTTCAATGTGAAATATAAGTATATTATATACTTATACTTGGATTACAATTCATGATCCATATCTACTATCCATAATGTAATGTAATGTAATGTAATTATTATTATAACTGGACAAGTCCAAATTATCCAGCTGATGTAGATATAGCTTAGATATTGGAGAAGAAAATTAATTTAATTTGACCCTATCTGCTGTTTATTTCATTTTTATCTTAGATGTTTACATCCTTGTTTAATGTACTCCTGCTTTGACATCTTATGCCTTCCTGTACTTTGAGAAACATGTTGGCTAAAAATCTTTATTTTATGAAATTGTATAGTTATTTGTTTAGTGTACAAAATTATAAAACCAAACAAATAATTTCAGAAATATAAAATCAAATCATATTTACCCCCTAAATGTTAAACCCATACTATCAATTGAAACAGCAATAAGAGCTATTAAAGCACCAGTAAAGGCTAATTTGAAAAGATGGAAGTGGATACTTTTCTGAAAATGGAAAAGAGGGAATTACGATTCCCAAGGGAATCCATACTGAACTTCTGAAATAACTCAAAGAAAACTGGTTCATACATATAACAGGTAGAATTTTGCAAACGTGGATGCCCTCAGTAGTACATCCCCTACTGGTTTTAGTGACTGAAGATTGTTCAGTCTGAGACCATAAAGCATTTGACAATATATAGCTTTTGCAATATTAGTATCATATGATCCTTAACTCTCTGTATTGGTTGGCAGTCTAGCACTTGGCAACTGAAGTTGTATGCAAATATATTATAGCCCTCTAAATGTGATATAACCAAGACAGGGACAGCTGTTGTGAAGCGCTATGTGTTTGAAAAAATTTTTAAAAAGGAAAACGAGTCAATTTAAGGTTAATAATATGTCCTGGATTCACTGAAGACAGATGCAGTATTTATGGAAGTACCTCTTGGGTCTTACTTATTTGGGCATGATAACATCTCTAGCAGCCTTCTCCAAACTGTCTCCTCCAGATGTGTGGGGACTGTGTCTCCCAGAATTACCAGCTGCTGTAATTGAAAGATATTACAAGCCAAGCAGGGTGGGTGTTTCAGTCTTATAACATCTGGAAAATGCCACATTGTGAAAGAATAAGAAATTAAATCTAAAATACAAACACAAATTTTTATTTCAATTTCTTCTAGAGGCTGATCTGAGCAATCTAGACAGCATGTTGTATCTATTGAAAGATGAGATCAGTTCCACAAGGAAGAGGAGGAGATATCCAAGACATGCAGCTGATGATGACTACAACATTGAAGTGCTTCTTGGAGTTGATGATTCAGTTGTACAGTTCCATGGGAAGGAACATGTTCAGAAGTATCTTCTGACCCTGATGAACATTGTGAGTAACTTAATTATTTTTTAGTGCCAGAGAATTAATTGAACCCAGTTGAGTTACTTAGCAGGACTTGCAGATCCCTATTGTATTCATTCATTCATTCATTCTGATTTCAAGGCCGCCTGATTCTCTGATGACTCTGGGTGACTTAAAAATAAACAAGAAATAATGCCTATAAAAAGAAAACTTGACCAACCAAAAGAACACCCAGTCTTAAACCAGACAAAACTCAGCAAAACTAAAAGGGGCTTCACAACCACCCTATCCCAAGGCCCGAGAAAAGAAATATCTCAGGCATTCAGATCATTACCTCTGGATCATACTGTGAAAGATAGTTTAGCAATTAAGTAACATTTGCATCATCTAGTTTCCTTCAAGCAATAGAATGTAAACAAGTAGAGACCAGATTAGTTTTTTCAAACTATAGCCCTATTATATTCAACAGCAGTAGTTCCTTATAATCAAACCTTTTCTACTGCTTCAAGCAGAAGGAGACAGACCTTGCTTATAATACAGCACTTTAATATATCCAAGACAGAAATAGAAAAGCCTCTTCTTGAAATCTTGAAGAGTTCTCACCAGCTAGTGACAAAACTAGGGAGACCAATGTTCTAACTCAGTATCGTGCAGCTTTCTATACCCTAGGGCGATTCAGTTTGGCCATATCATTCATTGAGGCTGCAATCCTATAAACACATATTAATGAATTAGATTCACTAAATACATTCAGTTTACTTCTGAAAAGGGGTTATCAGAAACAGCTTGGTAATTAGCTCTAAAATGTCCATATAAGAAAACACATATTTTTAACATAGATGCAAAATGCAATGGAAGCTCTTATTTGCTGCTGGAGTTCTTGTATAACCATTTGCTTCAACCCCACAGCTCTTCATGCTGATGATTTCATATAGACTCGCCATGGAAGATCTAGGGAGACTCTTGCACATGCTGGAACAGTGCAGGATAAATGACCTCTCTTTGTATTACTGTCATAATAAATCATGCTTTTCCAGTAGTCTCTGTTGCCATGTAGATTAAGGCTCCCTCCTTCAAGCCAGAACTATGGATATTTCAAGACAGATGCAGTCTGAATCAGAAGGGACATCATTCGGGTTTTAGTAAGAAAAAGTCCATTCATCACAAGATTGAAAAGCCTGCAATTGATATTTTCCAAATTAGATTGTTAAAAAAAAAGATACTGGTCTTTCTTTCCCCTTTCCAAGTATAGTGTCCTGCTAAAGTCCTAGCAAGAGCCATTTTGGTGTAGTGGTTAAGGCACCAGGCCAGAAACCAGGAGACTGTGAGTTGTAGCCCTGCCTTAGGCATGAAGCCAACTGGGTGACCTTGGGCCAGTCACTCTCTCTCAGCCCTACGAAAGAGGCAATGGCAAACCACTTCTGAAATCTTGCAAGGAAAACTGCAGGGACCTGTCCAGGTGATCGCCAGGAGTCAGCGGTGACTAGAAGGAACCGTGCCCCCAAAGTCCTAGCAGAACAAACAACTTCCGGATGGCAATCAATTCTAACATGTCTATTCCTAAATTTCACAAAAGAAGGATAAGGGTGGTCCATTGAGAACCAGACAGTTAGCCCAATTGTAAGCAGGGACATTAGTGAGGAGTTGCATGGTTCCAGCAGGAGCAACATCAGTTGTTTTCCTTCCTCCATTCTTAGATGGGTCCATCTAAGAATGTTACCAGATTCAGATATGGTTCAATGATAGAAACTTTTTTCTGGATCTCCCAGTCAGTCCCATCCTTATCTTCCTTTGGCTTTAACCATTGTCATCTTACCCAGTGGTGAGCTCTGGAAAACCCAGAAGCTGGCAACTGTTTTGAAATGCTTCAGCTGATTTAACCTGAAACAGTTTGGACTGAATCACAAAAAAAGGAAAGAGAAAGATTTCAAGAGGAAAATACTTAGGAGAGCGTGTAATTGTCTTCACATTTTTCCTTAGATTAGTTATTCCCTTGAAAAGAATCAGCAAATAACTTGAGATGCAGATAGATGAAATGAAGAAAATCCTGAGAAGATTAAATGTGCAGTTGAAACAGATTTTTTTTTTTAACATGTTCACTTTAAAAGAAGCCATATAAATTCAGCACAGAGAAACAGATTTTGAAAAAAAACCCTTTTTCTTATCATGCTACTTAAATCTATTTTAAGATATATAGTTCCTGTAAGGAAGTCATAAGATTTTCAGTAAACTAACCAATGTTTTCATTAAGGAAATCATAACTTAACATAATTTTAATTTTAAATACTTTAGAGGTTTTACAGAACACAAAATATTACTTTGTCTGCATCTTTTTCTCCCTCAACAAGAATTTCTAGAAGTCCCTAGCATAATGAATATTCATTCTGTCAAATTATTTGAGGAATTATTCCTTATCTTTGATACCTTGAGGGAATCCTTCATCCTAGATAGATGTTGAAGACAGGGTCACACAGTTTGCAAAGCCCTTGGTCACTATGGGTAATAGGTACTCAAACCTCTTAGTGCCTACCAAGGCTTTATATTTCATTGCTTTATATTTCACTTCTATATCTCTATCTATCTGTCATCTAATCTACACTCCTCTAATTTTGAAGCGGGAAGTAAGACCGCTACACAGCCAAGTGCCATTCTCCAGTGCAATCTTTATTGCTAAGAATGCTTCTGGCCTTGAATATACCTCAGAAGGGTGTTAGAAAAGAAAAGTAAATGACAGGGTGTTGTAGAAACTGTTCTGTTTAGAAGTGTGTCTACTTACTCAGAACAAGAATGGAGGTAAGCTGAGGTGCTTGAGAGAATCTTGCAAGACTAGAGGGTATACCTTTTGTGCATGTCACTCTCTGGCAGCCAATTTGTGAGACTGTCTCTATAACATGCTGTCAAATATCCAGATGTGTTTAGCAGCCCCCAGAGGTTGGGGAAAACTCAGCGAAGGTATAATGAGGATTGTTGTTTGTGGCTTTGTACAATTTGTAAAGTCCCATTTTATTATGATTTGTAATATTAAACAAATCATGGCTCATGATTTTATGAATCCCCCACTTGGAGGCTAGCATCGATGTCTCCACAGGCCTCATATATTCGTGAGCCCAACTATCACTAGCAATTATAATGACATAAATAATAAAATAGTTCACAATACTTAATAAGAGTGTATTTCTAAAAAGAGAATATAGAAGAGCATAGTTATATAAAAACAAAAGGATAGTTACAGTGGGAAAGTACAATTAAAAAAAATTGCTTTAAAAAGATTGCTTGGCAAATTATATTAACAGTTAAATTAAGGGAACCTGTCTGCAAAAGCAAAAGAGATCACAATCTGATTACTCTACATGTATTTCTAGCCAAATGACCTTCTCTTTCATTTTTTTCCCAGCAAAAAGATGGAGTCTGGAAAAGAAAGGTTGAGGAACTAAGGGTTCACATGGTATCTACTATTTCTCAGAACAAGTTGTTTCTTTCCTTGGATTTGTTTAGGATTCTAAAGGATTTTTCCCTCTCTTTCTACTTGGAGTCATTTGAAATATTGTGAACTGAAATTCCTCATCATCTCCAGATCAAGGAGTCTGGAGAAGATCTGGTTTTTGACTTTCAGGTGGATGTCTCTTGCCTGTTAATCCGTTCTCCAGCTAGTTAATCCAGGCCATTGCCTGACTGTCAGTAGTATCCAAACCTATCCTCGTAGAAAGAATGAATCTCAAAATCTGCATGAGGAGATTTACATAGAGCTCAAGAGTTTAACAGTACTTTCATTCTGTGACTAAGGGTGCAAAGATAATTTATTTCCTTGGTTTCAGAGATTCAACTTGGAATGAAGAAGTGTAATCCAATTTTATAATCTTTTAAATTGAATTTAAGCAAACTGCCTCCACCAGTCCACTAAAATAAAATCTGAAGCCAACTCTGTGGTTTATTTTTTATTTAATGCACGTGCTTTAAACTGTGTGACCAGAATGTATCGGGAAAAAAAGTGTGTATGTGCATGCATTCATATAAGACAGAAAGAAAGCTTGCTTTAAATGGGTTCTTTGATGCTTATCTTTTAATTTTGAAATGAAGTCATCCTCTCAGAGATAGTAGTGATCCCAAAAGACACAAGCAGCTTCCAGAAAGACTTCAAGAAAGAAAAGCAGACCTGATGCTATTTCATCTTCTGTTCTGAACCATTTCTTCCAAGGCCAGATTTCATTCTTCCATTCCTCTTAAAGTTGTATTGGACAAATACTGGGTTGTCTGGTATTCAGAGAATCTCTCAGATTTTTCAGTTTTCTTAGTTCAGGACTAAAATACTCCCAGAATAGAGAAGGAATGAAAGTTTGTGCACCTCATAGGGTCTGAAGTGCATTTTGGGGTGCTCTGCTCCTCATCCATAAGGGTTGTCTTACTCAGGGCTTTGACACAGAGTAGAATTTTGTCTCACTGCAATATTGTCCCCAAGGGGAAGGTTTTACTGACCCTCACAGTAACGAAAATGATCATTCACCCTGTTCCTTACCAGTAGTCCTCGTTTAGCTACCACAATTGGGACCAGCAACTCAGTTGTTAACCAAAGCAGTCGCTAAGTGAAACCACAACTGTGCTTACGATCTTACTTCAGCTTTCCTTTGCTTTACAGACCTGCAAAGGTCATAAATGTGAGGATTGGTTGCAAAGTTACTTTTTCATCACTGCTGTAACTGCAAATAGTCACTAAATGAGGCAGTCACTAAACGAGGACTACCTGTATTACCAAAATCAAGCTTTTTCCTATGTAGATTTTCTGGAAATTAGGGTGACATGTTTGGAATAGGTTTTAATAAAAAAGGAAACATGTCCTCAAGCTGAGCTTAGTTTCTGGTTCTTTCATCTATGACCTGGCAATGTCACGGAACTGGTTTGGGCCTAAAAATTTGCTTCTGTTCCTTACCATGGTGAGTCTCTTTCCCCAAACAGGCAGGTAGAAAATGGTTCTCTTTTGAACCAAAGCTGGGAGTGTAAATAGCAGAAACATCCCAGATAGCATGTTAGAG